TTCTTTATTGACTAGATACACCAACAGTTATAGAAAAGGGAAAACAGAAATGCACTTACAAACAGACAGAAATGATAGCCTATGCAAGAGTTGTCATATGGCCATTTAAGTATTACAATTTTGGTACAGTTCAACCTGATATCATTTCACTCATTGGGATTAACATTCATTATCATTATAAAAATTGAACTTCCAAAAATCATGTGTTTCAAGCTAATAACTGTCCATTTCTTGATTCCATAACAATAAAGATATAAATACCAATTCACTGCTTGTTACAAATTAGAGGGAAGAGAAGAGACAAGACAAAGAGAAAGACAGCAAATGTAACACGAGATAGAGAAAGGTTGAGAACAATAAAGTGAGAAAGAATGGGACAAAGGAAGAAGGAGAGAGAGTCCGAGGATAAAAGACAGAGATGATTGCACCTAGATTTCAAATGGTTATGACCTCAATGCAATGGTAATAATTAACAATTGAAAGGTGATGTGCTTCCTTCACCTTGCTGTGTTATCCCATCACTAAACATCTGCACTTCTGTCTAATAAACAAAGTCATACACCAATGAATTTCAGTAAAATTGGAAATCTATTCTTATTATGGTAGCTACATCAATGGGAAACACTGCTATTGGTTAAATACAATTCCATGTAAAATATGTTACTGCCAAAGCCAGCAACTTCTTTCTGAACAACAATATTTTACCTAGCCATTCTAAACAATTTGTCCTTTAATTATGGGGTCATTGGAAGCATAAGGATGAGACTCTAAAAACACATTTTTTTCTTGTTTTTACCAAATGATTATTCGTTGTGTTAACAATACCTCAAGTCTATCTGCATAAATCATATCAGGACATTTTACATCAATGGCTATCTACAAAATGGATTACACTTTGAAATATGCATAATGATTTCCCCCTCCCCCCTCTAAAGTCCTATGAAAATAATGGTTATGTCTCACATCTATTTCCAACTGACTGAATCTTAACGATACCATCTTCTGCTTCACACTTAATATATCTAATAAATTTCTATAATTAAACTGTTTCAACAACTTGACCAACATAATAATCTTTATATTTTCAACAACTGTCATCCTGTTTCATTTGAAAGTTTGTGTACTAGTAAGCCTAAACATTACAAGAACAAAATTTGCAACACAGCACTTTCAGTTTGCTAACACTACATTTATTAGTACCACTCTCATTAGCAAATAGAGGTGAGGTGAGGTGAAAAAAAAAAAAAAAAAAAAAAAAAAAAATGGAATGAATTTGCTTAAGTACCTACTACAAAATAAGAGAAAATAAAAATAAATACATTTATCCATAATGGAACATAGTACAATATTTTGTTAGTCTTAATTCTATGGTTAAAATATATACTGGATAAACTTTGTTAAATGTTGCACGAGATACGGTCTCCCGCTTTTACATTCCCAAGATGAAAATGTAAAACGGTGTACTAACCGATTATTTATTTAACAAATAATAACCATACAAAATGAAAAGGAGTCAATACAACATGATAAACTATGTGAGAATATAAATTAGAGAATATGAAAACTCAACCAGTAATGATTATGTTATGAGAGAAAGCACGTGTGTGTGTGTGTGTGTGTGTGTGTGTGTGTGTGTGTGTGTGTGTGTGTGTGTGTGTGTGTGTGTGTGTGTGTGTGTGTGTGTGTGTGAGTGTGTGCGTGTGAGAGAGAGAGAGAGAGAGAGAGAGAGAGAGAGAGAGAGAGAGAGAGAGAGAGAGAGAGAGAGAGAGAGAGAGAGAGAGAGAGAGAGAGAGAGAGAGAGAGAGAGAGAGAGAGAGAGACCCACATATATGTAATAGAAGCAAGATAATGAAAGACAAAATGAGCTTTTAGGATATAAACACGTATGTAATTTTGGGGGGCTTCATCATCACATTTGTGGCCAGTAACAATAAAAAAAAATAAATAATAAATAAAAAAATGAAAAATAAAAAAATAAAAATAATGATAATGATGATGATGATATAAAATAATAATAATAATAATAACAATAATAATATAATAATAATAATAATAATAATAATAATAATAATAACAATAATAAAATTTAGGAAGAAAGAAAATACAGTAAAATGAAAGAGACTATGATGTGGTATTATAACAATGATAAAAATAATAAAAATGCAAACCTGCCATATGATGACATACCTAAAATATGAAGAAAAAAACACCAATAATGGTACCAAAGGTGTAATACAAATGTGAAGCAGGATGATTTGACGAATAGAAAGAGATGAATATGTAGATGTGTGTTTGTCTGTGTGTGTAGGGAGGTTCATGAATATACATGTGTGTAAGTGTGGGGAGATGTATTCATGTGGATGGATGTATGCATGGGTGCATATATGCATGTGTGAGTGATAAACATGTGAATGTATAAACCCAGGTGTATGTGAGTAAATGTTCAAGTGTGGATATGTTTATGAGTGTATAAATGAATACATGAAAATATGCATATATATATATGTGTGTATGAAAAATCAGGGGTATGTATGGCTATACTCTGAGCAATAAACACATATTTTACTGCATACAGTACTTCCAATGACTAGGTGAATAAACTCAAATGATTATCTAACTTTTGATAGTAACAGATTTTCAATTTCTTAGGAAAAGATACACTAATTTTGGTCTACATTTATGAAAATACATGAAATGGAATCTGTCAGTGATACCCACAAGATGGCATGACATTACTATAGCACTTATACACATATACACAACAATCAAAAATTATGTCATGGAGATATTTGCATTGTATCTTAAAATGTCTACATAAGTTCACATTTCAATACAAGTAGTACATTTGAGAATAACATACAGTATCAGATTTTTTTTACAAAAAGAAAATAATATAGCCCAAATAGGAGAAAAAAGAAACCCATGAAAATATTAGAGAGGAGAGACGGTGAAGAAGGAAGGGGGAAGAGAGGGAGGGTGAGAAATTAATAGAGAGGAAGGAGAAAGGAAAGTAGATAGTCTGGGAGGCAGATAAAAAGAGATAAAGATTGAGAGAAAAGAAAGAAAGGAAGGGAAGGAGAGAATGAGGGAGTGTACGAGTGGGTGAGTGAGTGACTGAGTGTGTGTGAGTCAGTGTGTGTGTGCAAAAGTACATGTACATGAACATACTTGCCGAAGTATATCTTTTCACATTAAAATCTAAAGTAAATTCCTTCACATCCATTTAATGAGAATGTATGAAACTGAATCTGCAGATGGACAGTGAAAAGGGATTCCCCCATTTCTAATCTGACTTACTATCAAATGAGCCAATACAAAGACCAAGTTTATCTGCACCCAGTACCTAACAGTTCATCCACAATCTACATTGATATGTTGTTCAGGATATAATGATCACCTCAAATAGGCCCTTTGTCCCTACTCTTCTTGCATTTCCAGTGATTTCAGTATGATGGGAAATGCTTTTCTTTTTGTATACAAAGTACAATCACTTTCATATATAAAAATTTCATTAAAAAAACTAACAAAAACAAAAACACACCAAAAAGAAGAAGAAAATAAAAAAGACTGGACTCCTAAAATCAAAATCCACTCAATAGTACCCATAAATTCAATAGGAAGTTTCCAACCATTCAATTCAAAAAGGTAAATAAATAAGTACTATTCTAACTTGGCACCCTTTTGTGTACCTCCCAAGGGCACAATGCATAACTCCACTTGGTCACAGAACATAGTAAATCTAAACATTTATCTATTAGCAATTCTGTTAATGTGATTAGTCAAGAACAATGAAACTATGCACAGGAGGCCATTCATTACATCCACGTCTTAGAAACTGCAGCTACACAATCTTTGTTGACAATAGTATTCACAATTATCCTATGACAGTAAGAACATATAAATCAAGTATCACTTTTTAAAAAAATCTAATACTGATTTTCATGGTCACATTCTTATCAATATGATCCCTTAAAATGGCACAGAACTTTGTTAAAAGAAATATGAACAAGGATGAGGGTGAGCCAAAAGTTCAAATTGGCTCTAAACCTTCGTAAATACATCTCTTGTACCAGACAACTATGCGACACTAATGTCATACTAAAAATCTGTTTCACATGGCACATCACTAGCTACCTCAAATGTAGTATTTGTTAACATCTTAATTAAAAACATACTTTCTGAAGAAATGAGGAAGAAGAAAAAAAGAGAAAAGAAAAAGAAAGAGATAGGAAAATAGTTAATATCTATCTAGTACATTCAAATATCATAACGGATGTATACCCTGACTTCTGAGATATATTCTCTAATGTTATCTAGCACGGAAAAAAGAAAGATAAAACTCTATTTCTATGCACCATTACAACTATATCTAGGGAAACAAGTTACAAAGGGGGAGGGGGACAAAAATATAATTCAATATGTACTTATTCTGCCACATCATAATACGATCTGATACAATCTTGTTTCAGGCAGAGCTAACAAATCATGGATCATTGCATCTCCTATGTCCCATGCCTAGCTATATTCTAATTTATTTTGTATATTTCAATTTCTACATGAGAATCACTCCCCAAATGTAATTAAATCTTTACTGAAATAGTATCTACTACCATTGGCCTTTCAATGACCATGAGAATGATTTTATGAACACATTCATTTCAGATTGTTTACACTGCAAATGTAAAAAGTATATTATGCTTTCTTCAAAGACTTCTGAAGATTAAAATTATTTATCTTTCTTTATATACCAATAATACCTTTAAAGCTCAGTTGTACACCCAGATTACCAGCTAATAAATACAAAATATAGGATTCATCTTTCCAGAAAAAAAAAAAAAAAAAAAGTCACCATGTGACACCCTAGCAACATGTCACCAGAGCCAGCATAGAGCTATCGAGACAGAGCTGGTTTCCAATTAGACTGTTGTCTCCCTGAACACATGGATGTGGGAGTCAGGAGTGGCTGCAGGAGAGGTTAGATAGCGGGTCGAAACGATGCCTTGAGGAACACATCTCAGCGTCCCCTGGGCTTGGTCACTCTCTTCTTCCAATGGCGTTGGCTGTTCTGACACTGTGGCGGTCTCCCCCGGCTCCCTGAGCTGCCACACAGGTTCATCCACCGGGGTTCCATCATCTAGTAAGTGTATTAAAAAGATCTGATATATTTTCACAAGCATTACAGTTATCAATATTACCATTTCTATCATCACTGCCTTTGGACTAAATACAACTTATCACTATTTTGACATAGTACTACTTTCCTAGTGATGAAAACCAATGAGACCTAATATATCAACTAAACGAGGCATACAGATAATGATATGGCAAACTCTGTGCTTTTGTTGGAAGCAAGTGAGGGAAGACTCCATCTGGGGATTTTAATGGAGGAAGTAAGTAATCGGGGGAAACTATCATATAAAAAAAGAAAAGAAAGAAAGAAATAAAAAAAAACTCAAGACCCTTATAAACTTTCTGCAGTGTTTCTAATTTAATGTGTACCTCTTCTTTGTGCACTTTAATGAGTATGCCTGATTTATAGCCTATTTAACCTCTAGATATTTCTATTTATCTATACAATGTATGACTAACCTTTAAGACTTTGGTTAGTTATGGGAATCAGCTGCCACATGTCCAGTTCCTACATTTTCATCTCTGTTGATTTTTACCTTACTTTTACTCCCAAATTTGATATAACCTTAGCTTATATGTGCAAATCTATGTGAAAGAATGAGAAAAAACACATTTCCAAACCTAGAATCACTAAAACATTTTAGGCAGAACTGGATCCTACATGACGATAATGATAAAACTGTCACATATTCCTCTGATTCAAAACATTTCTAGAAAGTGTTTTTTTTTTTTTTTTTTTTTTTTACCTCAAGGGTCAATGCTCAGTCTGAATAGCAGGGGAGGCAATAATTTACTTTTCACATATATACAATGCTATTGGACATACTAAAAACTGTGGCTTCAATTTACTTTTTGACATTCATGAAGGCAATTTAAATGATAGACATCTCTATTAATAGGAACTTGATCAGTGATGTGGAAAGAAATTAAGACAATATATTTTTAAAAATACTTTAAAAAATCCTTGCCTTCTTGAATGTTAACTGCTGGAATATAAGGTAAACAAGTTGGTTAATATATATCAAGAAAATGTACCTGTGGCAAAAAGTTTTACTCTGATTTACTTAGAACAATAAATACAAGCTAACATTAAGGACAACATAGTCAGTTTCTAAACAAATTCTAAACATAAAAAGACATGCACATGTCCATATATCACAACAAATCTGAGCAGACTTAAAATTACAATCTTACCAAACAAACTTGAGGTATAATCTACACATCTAATCCCTGCTCAGATTTGTTGTACATTTAAAAATGTAAAAAAAAAAAAAAAAAAAAAAAAAAAAAAAAAAAAAAAAAAAATATATATAAATAAAAATAAAAATAAAATAAAAAGCCATAAAAGAAACAAAGTCTTTAACTTACGGGCAACTACTAGAAGCACTATGTAGTCTAGGTTAAGACAGAACACAACAGCACTGGCCAGGCGAGCGTTCAGACATATCAGCACTGGGTTTGTGGCTAGATTTTTGGCACTTTTTATTATGTTTTGCGGAACTAATATCACCGGAATCTAAGTCTGCAATGTCAAAAGTTGGGGCCTGAGAGACTGTCTCTCCATCTTTAAGTGGTCGTCCCATGCTAGATGCACTGTCTTCACTGTATTGAGTACAACTTAAGCTTGATTCTGATTGATTTAAATGCTTGGCAGAGAGGCGATCACAACTGTCGGCGAGAAGCAGATTGTTGAGAGAGTGCTGCTCTGTGCTCACCTGTCTGTTGCTTACTTCATCTACTTCTTTGCAATTGCCATCTCTGCTGTCTACACCCGCACTCTCAGCCCCACTGCCTCCTGAATCCTCCAAAGTACCGGTATGTGTAATTGATGACCAAGAATGAGTGTCTTCAAGATGGCTTTCCTCAGATTGCTGAGGGGGTGGCTTATCCACACTAACACATAAATTAAGCTCGACTGGTGGGTTCACCTGCCCTGCAGTCTCTGCATGTGTGGACTGAACTGATCTGCACTGCAGTTCTGTTTCTCCTGTGCCTAATGAAGGGTCAGGTACAGGAACTTCTTCAAACCATTCTTCTGTGGAGGAACTGTGATGGGAAATCAACCTGGAGGAACTTGCTCTAAGGCGAAGTTTAGGAGGAGGATATGTATGATGCATACAACATCCAGCGTCCAGTGAATGAGAAGATATTAAGGGGGCATGATGAAACATTCTTGGTGGAGATATTGCGGTGTTGGGAGCAGAGTTTACTCTTTTCAGTAACTGTTCATGTCCGTCAACAGCTTGATTGTTTGTACTATTTCCCCCCAGCATTAAAAGATTTCGCAAAAGGTCCCGTGATTCGACTCCACCTGCTGGTCTGACTGGCTGTTCTCTTGACAGAAGGCCACAATGACAATAGTGTGAGATTTTCTCTTCACTAGCACCAGCACTACAAACACACTGAGGCACCGAACATGGTCCAGGACTGCAGACACTAAGTGGGGCAGGAGCAACGTCTACCCTTACCGGGTTAACACATGCAGCCGCTGGGCTCATGGGAAGAACCTGGCCTGGGAGAGAGGACAGGGTACTACTGTTGGGGCACACAGACTTGACTACAGGTCTCGGGCAGGCTGGGTATGACTGACACAGGCACCAACCCGCCTGCACAAAACACTGAGCATCAGGTTCATGCACAAAGTTACGGCACGGTGCATCAGGAGAGCAACACGGCACTATACCTGCTCCCATGGCCACCTCCAAACAAAGACCCACAGGCTGCATATTAAGGAGAAAAAGAGAAAAAAACAAAGATTAATCTTCAAATTTCTACTCCTATGAAAATCCACTTACCATGATTTTACTGCTATGAAACTGTAGAATAATGTAAGTGACTCCAGGAATAATGTATAAAATATGAAAGAAACTGGGGGAATATCAAAACCAGCTTCAGAATTACTGCTCATACTGTTTATGAAAAATATGGCATAGCATCTATTTTAATTTCACATTCATACAAGTATCAAATAAATCACAAAGCACCGCAGGTAAATGATATCAAACTCTGTAAATATCAAGCATCACTACATTAAGACAGTCAACCATGAATGCACCTAATAGTTGTAAGAGGTAAACAGGGCGCTCACTCACAAAAAGGTATACAAAGGCATACTTCTGATGCATGTAAATAAATCATATAAATTAATGAATATTTCCACAGACCAAGATATACTACAGGCTTCAGCTTTTGACTTCAAAAGATGAATTAAGGGACAAAATGTCATCAATTTATTATAGCATACTGACCACTGAACTGAACTGAACTTAAAAAAAAAGTCAGTTTTCTTAATGCATTAGTCAAATTACTAACAAATCTATGAATAAGTATTTATTCTACTTTTATCATACGTTATATTCAATTGTGGAAAGTGTGTTGATTGTTTATGGTATAATCTGTAAAATACTGAATACTTTCCTAATTTCTGAAGATATGCATTCTCACCAGGCAGTGCATGCCAGCCCTAGAACAATTTTCAAAAACTTGGACCTGATAACATTACATTTTAAAAACACTGGTACCTAACTGTAATGAAAAAGTGAATGTTGTGGGGACAGATATCTACAAACTTAAAGGTATGGAATTTCACTTATTTCAAACTAACTGTGTAATATCCAATACCAGCCTGAGGGTCACAGAAATTAATGAAAAGCTATATAATAAGTTTGAACCTTGAATGCAGATCCATTCTTGGAGAAGCCTTCTTGCTCTGTAGTAATATTCACTTACACAAGAACATTACACACACATACACACACACACACACACACACACACACACACACACACACACACACACACACACATACACACACACACACACACACACACACACACACACACACACACACAATCACACACACAACCACACAATCAGACACCACACATGCACACGCACAAACACACACACACACACACACACACTCTCAATCACACACACACCCTCACAGACACATATATGCACACATGCACACGCACAACACACACACACACACACACAACACAAACACACACACACAACACCACACTACACACAGACACACACACACACACACACACACAACACACACACACACACAACACACACACTCTCTCTCTCTCTCTCTCTCACACACAACAACAAAAGAGCACCAAAGTATATCAACATATCATATTTTTGTAGTTAGTCCAAAATATAATAGCAGTACAACAATCAATCATATGAGACAAGTTCTCCTCAACAGTAACAATAACAATATTAATAATGATAATAAAAAAAGTTCTCTTCTTGGCATCCATATAAACCAGGTAGAAGGACTTTGATGTATTCTACCAAATACACACACACCAATGGGCAACTAAGTCTTCATTACTTAAAGAAAGAAATAAAGAAAGAGAGAGAAAATGGAGAGAGAAAGAGAGAGAAAATGGAGAGAGAGAGAGAGAGAGAGAGAGAGAGAGAGAGAGAGAGAGAAGAGAGAGAGAGAGAGAGAGAGAGAGAGAGAGAGAGAGAGAGAGAGAGAGAGAGAGAGAGAGAGAGAGAGAGAGAGAGAGAGAAGAGAGAGAGAGAGAGAGAGAGAGAGACTGAGAGAGAGAGAGAGAGAGAGAGAGAGAGAGAGAGAGAGAGAGAGAGAGAGAGAGAGAGAGAGAGAGAAGAGAGAGAGAGAGAGAGAGAGAGAGAGAGAGAGAGAGAGAGAGAGAGAGAGAGAGAGAGAGAGAGAGAGAGAGAGAGAGAGAGGAGAGAGAGAGAGAGTGAGTGAGTGAGTGAGTGAGTGAGTGAGTGAGTGAGTGAGTGAGTGAGTGAGTGAGTGAGTGAGTGAGTGAGTGAGTGAGTGAGTGAGTGAGTGAGTGTGAGAGGCATCAAACTAGTCTGCAATGAATAGGCCTTCATGAAAAGTACTTGGAATAAATGCTGGTTTTCATTTACGGATCAACTTTCACTTTAGAAAATTTTGAGACATAAAATAAAATGGTTCATAAAGAAATTGCCATCATTCTTCACAGGATTCATTGATCTATTGCTTGGCCATCTCATGGCCAAGTTCATGACCATTAGAAAACTTCTAGAAACAATATTGCACATTCAGGTACAAAAGTACATAACCGGTCACTCAGTAATGCAAAGTAAAATAATTTCTAAGCAAACTTTTCACTTATATCAAAATATTGGTATAAGGATATATTCCCTACCTTTATTTGAAAAGAATGGTTACCAGGTCATTGCTAAACAAAGTGGACTTACAAAACATATCCTAACTATTGTATTTGATGATTCATACACATATGAAATGCTGAATTCATGACTGGATAAAAGAAGTATATATATATATATATATATATATATATATTATATATATATATATATATATATATATATATATATATATATATATATATATATATATATATACATATATATATATATATATATATATATATATATATATATATATATAATATATAATATATATATATATTATACATATTAT